TACATATCAAGCTCAACAACAACTGCAACAGGCCTCATTACCTCAGACTCCTGAAAATCTTGTTGCTGCTGTTTTTGCTATTATTACTGCTAATTCTGTTACAATTTTACTTTGTATTTTCTTGTTTATGGTTAATGGTGTTTCTGTTCAAAATGACACTTCTGTGTTTCGTCTTAAATATAATTTGTGGGTTCATCATGCACAATACATGTTTATGACCCATGGCACAAATATTACTTTATACTATGAGCCCCCAATGGCATTTGGTCAAATTTCTTTTACCCCTAATTTGATCATGTCTTCTACATTTATTGTCTCACAACTATAATCTATTTCACACTCCTGGATATTTTCTAAACCCCCTATGCAATTCAATTCTGTCCGTTGGCGTTAATTGAAAGTTAGTCAATTTACAAGGGGTCTGTGTTTCTGTTGTCACGCTAAACACACTTGGCTTCATAATTGGTCTGATTATGATGCTGCTCAGCACATATTAAAAAAAACTAGGGAATTATAGTTATTGTTCTAACTACTATTGGTTGTCAGGTACCTTTAATTTAATTCTTCTTTGTATGGACTTAATATAGCTCCTGATATGTATCCTGACAATTTTCCTATTTTTAATGCCTCTGAGCTTGTCAATTTACAATCATACATTCAAAATAATATCCATCCTCAGTACTCACCTTTTGAGTGGCTAAACAATTGGCTCCCTGATTGGTCTTTGCTCAGACAGTTTTTCTTTTATGCTATAATTATTATTATATTAATTGTAACCTGTTGTTTTATTCAATGTATTCTAAATTTATTTGCATTGTTTTGTCCTGCTTTCCTCTCTCTTAATCCTCTACAATTGTGATACATTCATAAATCTTTGAATCCTCCATTTAAAATAAAAAACGAAGATATGTAGAGTTGTAATTGCAGGAACGGTCTTATCTTGGATGGCAAACCTCAGATTAAGACTGTTTACAAGTAATTACAACTCAGGCAAACAAAATCACTAATGTAAAGGAGGATTAGAGAGAGGAAGTAAACATGTGTTAGACTTTAATTAGTTACAATTAACTAATTAATTGTATTAATTACTATGCTAAATAGTAACGAAAGTTGAGCAATAACCAAAGTTAACCAATGTTAGAGGATTACTAAAAATGTGTATAAATGCAAGACTAGACTCCAATAAAGTTCATCATGATTCATGTGATCATGATCAAACATCTTGACTGCCTCGTCATTACAACAAGGAAGAACTCTGGTTTTACAGATCTTGATTAATACTATTTCATTTCTATTGGTAGCAATTTATGCCCCAAATGAAGACCAGGGAGAGTTTTTTAAATATTTACATCAAAAAATAATAGGATTTTATAAAAGGAATATCTGTATTATAGGTGATTTTAACTCTACTGCTGATTACCAACAGGACCATAGTAATCCGAGGAAGAACAAAAAAGGAAAAAGAGAGTTGCCCAAGACATGTGAGGAAGTGATCAAAGAGTTAAATTTGGTGGACTTATGGAGAAGATTAAACCCAGAAAATAAACAATTTACATTTTACTCGAATCCCCATCAAAAATGGACAAGAATAGATATGGTGTGGATGAATGGAGAAATTGCAAATGAAATAAAAGGAATCGAAATTTTACCAAATGAATGGGCTGATCATAACCCAATTCAAATAATTTGGAAAGGTAGGGAAAAACCAAAGAAAAAATGGACACTAAACACCCAATTAATAAGAGAAAAAGAGTATACTAATAAGCTTAAAGAGGAATTAAACTATTTTCTAAAGGAAAATGATAATGAGGTAACCTCAAAACAAAATATCTGGGATACATTGAAGGCAGTTATAAGAGGTATAACTATCTCTTATAATGCCATGAGAAATAAAAGAAAATATGCTCAACAAAATAGATTACAACAACAAATTAAGGAATTAGAAACCCAATTACAAAAGACCCCAAAAGATCAAATAGTACAAAATCAGATAATAACAGCCAAACACAATTTGAATTTAATGGAACAAGAAAAAATGGAAATAAACTTGAAAATGACTAAACAAATTTACTTTGAAAATGCCAATAAACCAGGAAGATGGTTATCTTATAAACTTAAAAAAAGGAAGGAAAAAAGATTGATATATCAATTAATAGACGAGAAGGGCAATATACAACAAGAGATAGAAAAGAAAAAAGACATTGTACATAAATATTTCAAAGAGTTATATAAGAAAGAAGAAGTCAATGAGGATAAAATAAGAAATTACTTAGATGAAACAAAAGACAAAGTAATTGGAGATGAACTGAAAGAATTATTAAATAAGGACATTACATGGTCCGAATTGAAATCAGCAATAGAGAATCAAGGGAACAATAAAACTCTGGGGCCAGATGGGATCCCGGCAGAATTATATAAGGAAATTGCAGAACAAATTGGACCACTGATGATGGAAGTGTTTAATGAGGTCTTACTGGTAGCTAAGATCCCGGACTCGTGGAGGGGAGCATTGATTTCGCTGATCCCGAAGGAGGAATCTAACCATAGATACATTAACAACTACAGACCAATTTCACTCCTAAATACCGACTATAAAATATTCTCCTCTATTATAGCCAACAGACTGAAACAAGTTTTAAACCCGTACATACATGAAGACCAAAATGGATTTCTCCTGACTAGACAGATAAGGAAGGAGGAAGGTGCCATCTGTAAAACATTTTGTAAGCGTTTTCTTTATAAGCTGCCGATTTAGTGATCTTATTATTTCTGTTCCAAATCTTTTCCCATTCTGTTAATGTGATACTCCATCCGACATTCCTGCTCCAAGCTATCATATTTCCTTTGACTGTCTCTTCTTCTAGCTCCACTTCCAGTAAGTATTTGTAAAATTTAGTTATATTTTTTCTGTTTGATCCTAATAAAATTTTATCTAAGGGCTGAAGTTTGTTATTAATTCCAAAATCATTTTTATCTTGTTTATATCTACTGTGAATTTGGAGGTATACCCACTGATCTATTTTAAAACCCCGCTCTTGTAATTCTTGTCGTGTTTTCAATTTTCCTTGTGCATCTAATAAATCTTTATATTTGATCATTTTAGTAATGTCCAGATTATTTGGGTGAATCATTGCCTCCATTGTCGATAACCAGATCGGTATTTTTAAATAGTGTTTTTTCCGTACTTTTTTCCAATTGGTTAATATTGAATCTCTAATTAAGTGTCTATGGAAATATGACTGATTGGCTTTCCCTACTTCCCATAAAAAGGCGTGCCATCCCCTTTGCAGGTCGTGGCCTTCTAACAATAGCGTTCTTTTGTTAAGTAAATTCACCCAATCTTTTTACCATACTAGAGCAGCTGCCGTATAGTATAGTTCCCAATTTGGAAGTGCCAATCCCCCCCTACTCTTCAAATCCTGTAATGCCTTTATATTAATTCTAGATTTCTTTCCTTGCCAAATAAATTTAAGTATTATTTTGTTAAGTTCTTCAAAAAAAATTATGCAATTTAATTGGAATCGTCTGAAATAAGTATAAGAATTTTGGTAAAATATTCATTTTGATAGAAGCAATCCTGCCCAATAGTGAAAGTTGCAACCTACTCCATAATTCTAAATCTTTCTTTACTTGTTGCAAAAAAAATGAAGTATATAACAATACATATCTTAACAGCGGCCAGGTTAACGTTTGCTCAGTGCTGGAAACTACCTCACATACCTACAGAACAGATGATCATCCAGAAAATCTCAGACTGTGCAGAAATGGACAAACTAACCCTAGCCCTAAAAAATAAAGATTCTTCAATATATTATAACAATTGGAATTCCTGGTATAAATGGTTAGACCAAAGATAGACTGTGTATCATAAGGTTAAAAAAAGAATGGGATAAACTTATATGAGTGTAATCTAAATATAGATATGGATAAGATGTGCGTATATGATACAATTTAAGAAGAGAAAAGATTTTACAAACTGTCGAAAATGAGAATGTTTTTAAGTGTTCACCTTTTCTTCTTTCTTTTTCTGTCTTTTTCTTTTCTTTTCGCATTTCTTTCTTTCTTGCTTGCTCTTTTCTGGTTTTTCTATTTGTGTATGTGTTGTAGATTTGTTTTTTAATTGTAAAATTAATAAAATTGGTTTTTTTAAAAAATAACAATAGAGAAATGGAGTTTTTCACTGAGATGGATTTCTAAATATCAGGGATTTAGGGCTTCAGGATTGGTATGTAACAGTGCAGTTCCATACAACATACTATAATAGCAATGGAAAAAAATGTAATGGGAACTGGGGTCATTTTTTCTGAGCAGAAATAAAAAGAGAGACAGGGCTCTAGAGAGGTTTCATGTTCATCTCATATCTATCATACTGGCTAAAACCTTGGAAAAGAACAGATCATTACTGCTGTTAGTTGATTTCTTTAGATAAAATCTATTTCCATTCAGTCAGAAAAATGAAATTGTAGAATCTCTCTCTCCCCCTCCCTCTCTCTTTCCCCTATTATCTATCATCTATCTACTTATCTAATTGCAAAGGATTAGAATCATCAATAATTTGAATGAGAAATGGGATGCAGAAACTCATGCTGAGGTCTGGATCCTCCAGAGGTCAAAATAGAAGAGTTGCACCTAGAAGAATATTTCAGTTAACATTGCCAAAGCATGAAAAGAAAAATACCTTACCAGTAAACCTAACAATGGCAACAATTAAAGAACAGCACAGATAGCAGTCCTCTTTATCCACAGAATGATGTTCTGGAAGAAAAGTAGTTTTTTATATAGCATTAACTGAACTGTCTTTAAGTTTCATTTTCCTTAATGGCTGGGACAAGAAAGTATGTTGCAAGCAAAGCTTAATACATTTTTGCAAAAGATCTCTGAATCCCTCATCCATTAAAGAATTAACAGCCATGCTGAAGCTTACTAATTCAAGTAAAAAAATATGCCTAATGAGATTCAATGATAAGCTCATATTGGAGAAAGACAAAAGACAGGATTGTTTAAATAATTCTCTTTATCAGATGCTCTCTTTTATTCAGATCAGGCCTCACAATGATGATGTAGCATTTGGGAAAAAAGACACAAGTCAGGAGCCCAGCACTGGAGGCCAAGAGGGAGAAGATCTCCACAGCCACTATGTATTTCCCTTTGCTGCTCACATAGGCAGGGATAAAGGACAACCAAACACTGCAAAAAACAAGCATGCTGAAGGTAATAGACTTGGTTTCCTGAAAAGTGTCTGGTAGTTTCCTAGATAAGAAAGCTACAATAAAACTGAACATAGCCAAGAAACCCATAAAAGACAAGACACTATAAAACATAAAAACCGAGCCTTCATTGCATTCCATTACAATTTCAGAAACAAAGGAGTGGATATCAACATCTGGGAAAGGGGGTGAGGTTGCTAACCACACAGTACAAAGAAGGGTTTGAATGAGGGAGCAGGAGAGAACAATGGAAAGGGCCAGTCTTTTCCCAACCCATGTCCTCATCTTTGATCCTGGCTTGGTGGCCATGAAAGCAAGAACCACAGTGATGGTTTTGGCCAATATACAAGAAACAGCCATTGAGAAGATGATCCCAAAAGCAGTCTGTCGAAGGAGACAGGTCACTGTCATGGGTCTGCCAATGAAAAGCAGAGGGCAAAGGAAGGAGAGGAGGAGGGAGAGGAGGAGGGTGTAGGAGAGGCTGCGGTTGTTGGCCTTAATGATAGGAGTGTTGTGATACTTCAGGAATACTCCCAGTATAGAAATTGTGGCAAAAGAAAGAATAGCGGCCACTGTCATCAAGCTGCTTCCTAAGTTTTCTTCATAAGAGAGGTAAGTTATGTATTTGAGAAGACAGAAATTCTGCTTATTGTTTGGATACTGATCTTCTGGACACTGAAAGCATTGGTCCATATCTGCAAAAGCAAATATAAATAGAAAATGAAGAGATGCAGAGTCTGAGAATGGGGATTTAAAAAAATTACATGGAAATATATGTTAAAATAAATGAGTCTCTGGGAAAGACAGAAATGAATGGTGTACAAATGTGAATCATAATAATAGTAATGGCATTCTCCCTGTATGTGGATTTCTACTTAAGGTAAAAGTAAATATTCCCCTGCACATATGTGCTAGTCATTTCCAACTTTGGGGGGCAGTGCTCATCTCTGTTTCTAAGCCAAAGAGCCAGTGCTGTCCAAAAACATGTCAGTGGTAATGTGGCCAGCTTGACTAAATGTTGAAGGTGCACAGGGCACTATTACCTTCCCACCAAAGTGGTCCCTATTTTTCTACTTGCATTTTTTACATGCTTTCGAACTGCTAGGTTGGCAGAAGCTGTGACAAATAATGGGAGCTCACTCCATTATGCAGTACTAGGATTTCGAACCACTGAACTGCCGACCTTCTGATCAACAAACTCAGCATCTTAGCCACTGAGCCACTGTGTCTCATGGATTTCTACTTAGATTAAAATAATTGACCAAGTCCATTTTCCATATAGTGTTTTTTTTTTAATTTAGGTTCATAATTTGGACTAAATATTCAGTTGCTAAGAATATACTTGTGAAAGAAGTCATATAATTGCATTGCTTAGTCAACATAATCTCATTTCTCCCCATTGTGATCACTAAGTGAGAATTGTGGATCATTGAATATATATGCACCCAATCAAAGATATTCCATGCTTGGAGCCTTGCAGCCCTGAGCCAATATCTCCACCTGCCTATCTCCTTTTTCCAAAGCCCTTTTGGCTACCTTGCACCCTGCCTTGTGTGTGTATGTGTGTGTGTTTGTGTGTGTGTGCATGTGTGTGTGTGTGTGTGTGTGAAACCTTGTGTGTGAAGGAACCAGCATTTATTCATCTTCTAGCAAGCACCAGCATTGCTTCTCTTCCCAGTTTCCTTCTATCACAGTTGCAAGCAATAAACTTTCTCATTTGCACCCCTTCCACATGTGAATACAATAATAAAATAATATCATCAGCATGGAGCAAGCTGTTACAGTATGTATTTAGGGTCATTGGCATGTGTACCATGGGATCCTTCATTAACCCTGACAAGTCATTGATATATAAACTAAATAATAATGGGTACAGGATGCACCCTTGCCTTACCCCTTTATTTGTGTGAATCCTGTTAATCAGAGCCCCATTAACCCATACCACACCCTCAAACAGGTACTTGTGTTTAATCAAAGCCAGCAGTCTAGGTTCTATTTTAAGAGATGTCAGTTTACTCCATAGTATGTCTCTGTTTACCATATCAAATGCTGCTATCAGGTCTATGAAAGCAGTAAATGGGTCTCCTCTTAGGCATATTTGGCAATTAGATGGTTCAAGATAAAGCAGTTATCAATAGTGGATCAGCTTTGTCCAAAACCTGCTTGTTCTTCTGCAAGGATATGGTCTTCCTCTACCGGATTTCAATTCTATTTATTTTGTCTTGTGCTCCTTTTATGCCACTATGTGATAGAATACTTTACAAAGGCATATGTTCCAGAGCAAGATCTCCAAAGTAAGCTGCAGTGTTTTTTTTTTAAAAAACAAATTTTATTCAATTTTTCACATAAAAACAAAAAGCTCTTTTTAGTGGACAACATATTTCCAGGTCATCACTTTCACATACAAATATGACAATAGTTATACATTCATATATGCATACTTAATTCTATTATTACCTTTTCCATTCCAAACTTTCAGAAAGGAGAGAACAAGCAAATCAATCCTAGTCTCTTACATTAATATCAATCAAAACATCTTTTTGTTTTATTTCAATTATTTCAAATATAATCCTTTAATATTTATTTTAAAAATAAAAATAACAATATATGTTTGCCTAATTAAAAAAACTTACCAATGTCTCTCCTTCCTTTTAATAGTCTGTATTAGTTTATTGATTTAAGTATTTCTTTAATCTGTCATATTTTCTTTCCATCACACATTCTTTCTATAGATTCTAGATTAATACAAGTTTTAACACATAAGAAAAAGAAACAAGCATAGGTTTCCCCACTTTTACTGCTTTGAATGTGACACCTCAGTGATTAAAATATACCTTTATTCCCTCATCTTAATTCCCAATAAACCATTATTTTTAAATAGTTACAATAATAATCATTACATCTTTTCATTTGGATTCCACAACATATTTTCTCTCTTAATTTTATTTCTAATTTCAAAAAAGTAAAAGGGAAAAATTCAATATTCAATTTCTGGTCACTGATATTAACCTCATTTTTTAAACACATTCACATTCATTTCAATTATTACAGTTTCTTCAATAAACCTTAACTTTTCTTTTAAGAATAAAAATAAAAATGTATATTCATCTAATAAGAATTATCAGTATCTATCCTTCCTTTAATAGTCTATATTACCCTATTTTCTAAGTATTTTTTTAATTGCAAATATATTCTTGTTACCCCTTGTCACCCTGCAGAAAACTCTTTTTAATTCATCAGCCATTATCTCTGAAAAAATTATTTCTTTTCATCATTTTACTATTTCCGTGTTTCTTTATTTCTTGCACCTGTTTCTTACTGCCTCTCCTCCCACTCTTTATCCCATATCTTTTCTCATTCTGGTTTATATCCCTCTCTTTCTTAATATCTTCCTTTCCCCTTTTCTGCTGGATCTTTCTACCTCTCCTGACTTCACAGGTATTCCCTTTTTTGATTACCTTCTTAAATCTCAACTTTTTAGCTTTCGTTCTTTTCCCTCATCTTTGTAGTGTTCTTTGTGTTAGTTGTCTATTTAAGATGGCTTCTCCTTGAATCAACTCCTTCTCCTCTGAAGTTCTTTCTTCTTGTTCTTCAATCGCCATTTCCATTTCTTCTAACACAGAGCAAAGTGATTCGCCTCTTTCCTGTAGTAATTCTCTCATATTTTTAAGTTCCATTTTTAATTCCCGAAGAGATATCATCATTACACACTCTTATATTTTATAATCATTGAAGTCCACAAAAACATTTTTATTTTCCTTCTTTCTTCTTCCAGTTTTCTAAAGTTCTCAATTGTTCCAGCCCAGGGTTTATACCAAAAACATCAATCAATCCCACAATCAGTCTTTCCTTACTTCTTTCTTTATTCTGGTTCAGCTTTCACTTTCTAAGATTCTTACTTTGTTTCAATATTTCTTTAACATTATATCAACACAAGTTCATACAGAAACAGGATGCTTTCCCTTTTGTTTGAGTTCAAGTTTTTGTCAGAAGATGGCACTCTCCGTTATACAAAGTCTTCACCTTTTCCCCCTATTTTTTTATTTAGGGTTTTTCAAACCTCAATATTCCAACACAATCCAGTCTCCAATTTGTAAATTTTATTATTATTTTTTGACAATCTTAAGTCCATTTATTTTATGCCTGTTTATTGCCAAAATATTTTTGTCCAATTTAATTAAGTCTTTAGTTCCAGCTTCTTCCTTTCCCAGTTCGAAGCACCACTTAGCTGTCAAAATTATTTTCTTATTTTATTTCCTGTCCCTTTGTATTTTCGCTGCTCACTCTTCTTTTCTTAAAAGTTCAATGTTACCTTAATCCCGGGGTACTTTTTGTTTAGTTTTATCACCCAATTGTCCAAGCTCAGATGTTATCCACTTCTTTCTTCACTCCTGCACAAATCTTAATCCAGCTGAGTCCTCCTCTTCAGGGTGGCCATTTTGGACCACCACTTCAGTCATCTTTGGGGGGGGAGGCCAAGCCCAGAAGGGGAGATGCGGCTCCCCTCAACCTGGCTTGTGGCTTCCCCTTACTCCACCACCCCTCCAAGGCAGCTTCAGCCCATAATTGCAATGATCGGGGCTCTCCAACGAAAGAGCACAGACCATGGCCGCACACAGTAATGATCTATGGTCCGTCAGCGAGGAGGGCTCAACCTGGAAGTCCTGTAAGCTGCAGTGTATTTTGAAGGTCTTTTGATCATGAAAGTTATGAAATGCAGCTTTACAAAAGGCTCAGGAAGCCACCTGTTCACCAGAGAAGCTGGGTTGGAAAAGGAAGACAGCAAATGGAGCCAGGCATCTCTGCTTCAACAGCAGTAGATGGGCACAAAAGGAAAAAGGTCAGCACAGGGAATTGGGAGAGAATGGGCACAAAAATGAGAAAGATTGGTGCAAAATTATTTGAATTCAACCAAAGTTTCAAAGGACATCAAAGATGCCTTAATAGGAAAGGTATTGAATATTTCCTTCCTCGCTATTTTCACAAACTTTCATCTGATAGTAAATCACAAGAGAGAAAGAGAATTTACAAAAGAAAAACTTTGGGTCATATATTCCACTGTTTCTAGCAAAGATGCAGTATTGAGTGATGAAAAGTTGTACATATTTAAGAAATTGAGTAAAGTATTAAAATTATGGATAACATCTGGTATCTTTCATAGCATCTCTTACCTGTCTGATTTGTGATCTTTCCTTGCGGACATGGAATGCAATCATAGCAACAAAATGGTTCTCCTTCTTTTGGGGTCTTTCGGTAACCTGAAGGGCAATTATCATTACACAGGGAGACAGGCAATATCTGTCCATGAAGGAAATAAAAATATATTAACATATTTGGAAACAATGCTCACAGATTATCATTGAAACAAGATGAGATAGTTGACATTTCAGCTGTTGCAGGTAATACATCTGTGAGCTCACCTACATTCTAAAAATTAATGACACTCATTTTATTATTGCAAGATTTACCTTTGGGTTCTATGGCTGTCTCATATTCTGAAGAAAATAAAAACTAAATAATCAAAAGTGCCAAACGACCAGAGCCAATAAAACAATATAACTATTTGCATTAAAATGATTGATTTGTATCAGGTTTTTCTCCTCTGGAATATGGAAATAAATACAACACTGAATTTTTTTTCTTTTAATTTCTTTATCCCAGTTTCCTTGCTGCTCTTACACATTTCTCACAGTGTTGTTTTGCCTGGAAATGAGTAGAAATATAAGAATATACTGTGTAGTTTTTCAGGTGAACTTCAGCAATTTTAGCAGAACTTCAGAGTTCTGTTAAGAATTCTTCCATTACAGTTTTGACAACATGATGGAAGCTCATTTTGCCAAGTTTTTTTTTCAGAGAAGAACTGGAATTCTCTTAACAAGAAAATTAATCATTTAATGGAAATATATAAGTATAAAAAAGTATGCAGAAAATATTTGAAACAAAATTTTGCAAATATGATTTACAAGTATCCTTCTTCAGCTACTTCCTTAGTTCCTAATATAAGTTGCATAAAATTGTTCAATGGGAAAGAAAACAACAACAACACAACACTATTGCATTATATGCTTTGGACTTTGGTGAATTGGTTCCCAAATGTGTCTGTAGTCAGAATGACTCCAGAATGAGATAACATATATTGTGAATTTACAATAGAAGTTCTTGGTTGTATGTTCATAGAAATATTGCAAACAAGTATAT